CTGGCCTTGATATTGGACTAGGGTTTTGGGTGCAGATCGTATTGTAAACGTAGAAGGGATGATGTTGCGGTTCATATTGAGGTCCAACGTGAGGGTGCTTTGGGTCCAATTGCACACAGGATTCTCTGAACTGCAGGGGTTTAGGGTTTAGGGTTTAGGGTTTAGGGTTTAGGGGTTTAGGGTTTAGGGGCTCATGTTGTGGACTATAATATTAGGGCCGTTCTTGGGGGAACCCTTCAGTCACATGTTGGAAGTCAGTCAGACAACTGAAAATGTCGAAAAAAACGAACAGATGGCGATTTCTCGAGGCTCTAGAGTTATTTAGTTCAGGCTTTGTGATTAGGCTTCGGGGTTTAGGCCCCACGCCGAAAGCCACACAGTCAGCCTTGCTGAGCCCAAGAGTTGGAGCCTTCAAGCTATAACGAAGGCTTATATATGACCTAAGCGGCTCTTCTTCTTGTTTTGATTTAGGGTGTAGGGGCAGGGTACTTGGAGGGGGGGAGGACTTGGTAAGTGGATATTACATAGAGTTACAAGTACCCTAAAGGGGATCCTAATCGGGGTTATGAGACTTATAAGTCTAGAAAATAACCAGTTACTAAGTCCCCTGACCCTCTAAGTATCAAACCTTTACATGGTGTCTCCTGCAAAACTCACCTAGCTCGCTTCCCAGTCAATGCCTGGGACGCCGTCCGCTGCCCTCCGCAGGCCAACAGAATAATTTCCCATACTACCCCTTCAATTTCCACAATGACACTATAATGTCACCAGACTACTCCTCCAATTTCCATAATATTCATAGCAAGTATGGCCCAAAACTCTGTTCTTATTGGTAAGGCACCCAAATTACGGGTGGGCCTTGCATGTCTTTTGCGGGTTCGCAGAGGTGTAGTAAACCCTAAACCCTAAACCATGAATGGAGACCCGAAGTATATGGCTCCCTGCCCTCAAGCGCCTTATGGAGGGACGGGGTGCCTTATTCAGGGGTGTACATACCTAAACCCTAGGCCCGAAACCCTAGACCCTAAACCAGGAAACCCTAAAACCCTAAGCCCTAACTCATTAGCGCTGGGACCTCTGAACCCCTGGGGCTGGGTATATCCCCTAGGCCGACTTGATGCTGGGTTGCTGCCGGGGTCTGTGCCGTGGATAGCCTGGCTCTTCCAATCAATGGCATTCGACGAAGCAGCATGGCAGGTGAAAGAGTCCCATTCAACAAAACAGCCCTTACCCCAAAGCCATGACCCCGGAACCCTAAAGCCAAAACCCGAAACCCCAAAAACCCGAAACCCCGAAACCCTAAACCCTAAATCCTAAACCTTAAACCGCCCAAAAACCCGAAACCCTAAACCCTACAGCCAAAGCCCTATAGCCTATAACCCCTAGCCCTATATATCCTATACATACAAAATTAAAGGTTCGTCCCCGCGCCCTTAGGTTTAGATTTCCCTAAGGGTCCATGTGCCCAAATAGTTTAAGGGGCTTAAGGGGGTTTAGGGTTTAAGGGGTTTGGGGTTTAAGGGTTTAGGGTTTAGGGGTCCATGTACCCAAATAGATATACATTGGCCTTAAAGTAGTCCCGATATAAGTACTTTGGGGCCAATGTATATACTATTTGGGTACATGGACCCCTAAACCCTAAACCCTAAACCCTAAACCCTAAACCCCTTAAACCCTAAACCCCTTAAGCCCCTTAAACTATTTGGGTACATGGGCCCTCAGGATTTAGGATAGCGGCGACTCTTCGGATCTTTGATGGTAGTATACCTTAACCCACCAGAACCTACTTTGTAGGGTCCGTATATTTGCCATATTAGGGTTTATCATAAGAACCTACAAAAAAGTGGGTTTTGGTGGGTTAAGGTAGGGGCCTAAATAGCTCTTGTAAGTGTTAATTAGAACCAGACCCTATTCTAACTATTAAAGCACCTAAATTGCTTGTACTTCGCTATCTGCGAACTCCAAAAGTCCTACCGTAAAGGGTTTAGGGGTTCTGGGGTCAAGGGTTTAGGGCGTTGGGGGTTGAGGGTTAAGGGTTTTGGGTGTTTGGGAGTTCTGGGATTTGGGGCTTAGGGTTTGGGGGTTCTGGGATAGGGTTCTGAGGCTTAGTGCCGAGAGGCTCGGGGTAGGGTTTAAGGTAGAACTGCAAGTGCCGGGATGGATTCGCAATTTCGACACAAGCTCATAACATTTGAGCATTTATAGGATGTCCCACTTTAACCATGATGGAAGGGTGTCCTTCTGAGAGCCTTTTGTCTGGATGAAGGATATCCTCGTACTGGTCATCCCGGACCTCGTCCTCGTGGTCGTGGTATGTGGCAGTCTTTGTGAGACCAACAACAAAAGTCAACCAGCAACGGAGGCGCTGGCATTAACTTCCCATTGTTCAAAGTTGTCGGTCAAGTGTCGGTGAGGTCAGTGGGTACCGGCTGAGCCATATCCACCGCTAGAGGCACGTGCGACGGTAGCTTCAGCTTCAGCGCATCAGAGCCTGCAGGCAGAAGCTGTGCGTGCGCAACACGTTCTTGAGCTTTGTGAGCGACTCCGACAGTGAGCCGGAGAAAACAAAGCACCGCACCCGACTGAATGAAGACGTTCGTTTCCGCCAAACCCTAAACCGCCCAATCCTCTAAACGCCCTCTCGTGTCAGGATGAATCCGTACCTAAACGCCGAAATTTTAAGCCCTCCAAGCGTTAAGGCCTAAGCCCTAGTCAGGATGAACGATGGCTCGTTCCTTCTACCCTCCGAGCGAAAGCCATGTGAAGGCTTCAGGGTGTCGCCGGGACACTCAGCTGGGTGTGTTTAGGGTTCCTTTAAGGGATCCTTTACAAGCTTCAGGTTTAGAGTTTGTCTGGACATCCACAAAGCTGCTGGTTTAGGGGTTATACCCTGGAATACAAGGGCCATAATCTAGGGTTTAGAGGGCCTTATACAGTGCTCTGCAAGGGCTCTGAGCCTAAACCCTAAACCCCTAAACCCTAAACCCCAAACCCTAAACCTTATACGGGTTCTGTAAGGGTGCTCAGGGTTTGTGCATGGCCTAAGGGTTTTGATAACCTTGCTACTTGGAGGTTCATGGGTAGTTATAAGTGGGGTTATAAGTCCCCTATTATGGGTTTTAATTACAGTTACCCTACTTATAACCCCACTTTTAACTACCCATGAACCTCCAAGCAGGAGTTGTATAAGGCTGTGCTTTCGGGGATTTCAAGGGTTTTGCAGCGCGTGAATAATGGCTTGGCGAGGGCTCTACGAGGGTCGTCTGAGGGTTCTGTATAATTTCAGGGTTTAGAGTTTGGGGTTTTGTATAGAACCCTAAACCCTAAACCCTAAACCCTAAACATAGAGGTTTCCTAGAGCCTCCATCTACCCTCTATTAGACCCTAGATCCCCTTAATTTGGGGACTCAAAACACCCCAATTTGAGGGTCTTGTGGAGGGCCTTGTTTAAGAGGTCATCCAAAGGATGTCGTAAGTAACGTCTTCGGCTTTCGGGTGCGAGCCTCAACCCAAAACTCTAAACTCCTTACTCAAAACTATTGGGCTCTGTGGCATCCAGAAGGGAATACCTCAGGTCTACAGCCCAAGCCCAGAGCCACAAAACTTACAATAACAAGGAGTTAGGGTTTAGGGTTTAGGGTAGTGCAATGAGTAAGCGAGGGAATCTGGAGTGCCATGGTTTTCGTGTAGGGTTTGGGGGCTTAGGGATTTAGGGTTTAGGTTTCCTCGCTCCGCTCTGCTTGGCTGTCGTCTACCCTACAGTAGCCTCTCAATGGTAGTTTCATTGTATGGGATCCTTGATCCCTAAACCCTAAACCTGAAGCCCTAAACCCTAAAGCTAGGGTTTAGGGTCAAGGGTTTAGGGTTTAGGGCTTCCTCGGCCCAACCATCCCGACCAGTTAAACTCCAAATGGAACCACACTGGAGGGTATTGGAATAATATCAACAACATCTAGGTTCCCCCCAGTACTACCCTTTTGCCCTTTTTCTTGATTGGGATTCCTTTATTAAAACCAAGTAGTAGGAAAAGGGTACCCTTATGAAGAAGGGGCTACTCGGGAACCTAGACATTTAGGAGTTGAGGGCAGTGAAGTTTCGGGACATTTAGCACAGCTTGGGGCTCGAGCGTGTGGAGGATATCCCCCAGAATGCGTGTGGGAATCCCAGAAGGCGTTTAGGGCTCAGGACATTCTTGCAGAGAGGGAGAGAGGAGGCAGGAAAGTGCCTTCAAAGGGTTGCGAATGATACTCGTTCAGAAACCCTAAACCCTAAACCCTAAACCCTAAACCCTAAACCCTAAACCCTAAACCCTAAACCGTTCAGTCCCTTATGACAACCTGCTCAAGAACCTACAGTTTCAGGGCTCCTTCGTATGATTTCCGGATGTACTCAAGAAGGTAGGGCTTTTTAGGGTCTTGGAAGGGCGTAGCAAAAACCCTGTAGGACCCCCTAAACCCTAAACCCTAAACCCTAAACCCTAAACCCTAAACCCTAAACCCTAAATCCTAAACCCTAAATCGGACCGTGTGAGCTTCGGATCAAGGTCAGGTTCCTGTACAGCTAAAACCTCTCGGCATCCTCAAAGCCTACCCAGAGAGCCCAATACCTTTTTTTTTAGGAATATACTTTAAATCATAAAATTACGGCCCCTATAATGTAAGGTATATTCCTTAATTAAGGGGTATTGGGCTCTCTGGGTAAAACCTGAGTATGCCAGCATCATTCATCTAACCCTGAGCTCTTGCAAACTGCGCAACTCGATGGCTTGGGGCTCAGGGGCAAACCTTGAGACCCCTCAAAGCCAACGTCACGTTCAATCCTAAATCCTGAACCCTTAAACCCACGAGATCGCACCCCCCAACCCTAAAACCTAGCCCTAAATCCTGAAACCTAGACCTTACATCCCTGAACATCCCTAAGCTCTAAACCCACTCATTCAACCCAAACCCATAAAAACAACAAGACTCCTGGCTTGGAGTCTAATAGTCAGCGTCCCAGCCATGACGAAGTCCAGCAGAACTCCTGCGGACAGCGCCCTTGAGACTGCACTTAATGGATCGATAGGGCCGCTACAGGGTTTAGGGTTTAGGGGGGATCAAAAGAGGTTTTAGACTTGGTTGGGCTTCTGTACGGGATCTACAGGGGTTTAGGGCTTTGGTTAAGAGATATAGGGCAGTAGAAGACAGAAAGTTGGAACATCATGGCCCTGATTCTAGGACATTTTCAGGTGGATAGCTACCGTTACAGGAGCCTTATAGAAGGTCTATGCACCTTATGGCAGCCTTGTAGAAGCCCTATACACCCTAAACTCCCCACCTGTAGTTTCCTTGAACTGATAGAGTGGGGGGAACCCAGCACCCATGATCCCGCATCCCTGTTCCGCCTTTCCTAGAAGCCAGTTTGGGTTTCGGGTTTTCTTCCTTCAAGGATTCTTTACATGGTTCTGTATCGGACCCTAAACCCTAAACCCTTCCCAAAAGATCACTATGTTTAGGGTTTAGAGTTTAGGGTTTAGGGATAAGGCAGGGCCTTTGGAAAGGCTTAACGGATCAGCCGCTGACAGGATTCTCTACTGGGTTCCCTTTCCCTAAGGCTCAAAATCGCCCAAACGCCTTACATGGTATAGTCTCTGTGCCCACTTGGAGGGTCGGGAGTCTTAGTAAGTAGGTAATAAGTATACTTATAAGTACCCTAAAACGGACGCTAATTGGGGTTATAGTACTTATAAGTCTATAGAATAACCATTTACTAAGTCCCCCGACCCTCCAAGCAGAAGCCTGAGAACATGAGTCCTTAGAACCTCAGGGCTAGAGGGTTCTATAAGGGATCTAGATGGACCCGGACCGACAGTGCCGGCTTGAGGTTAAGGTTTAGGGTTTTTTTGGCTGGCACTCTACGTCGCCCAACCAACCCTTTAACCCGAAATACGGAAACCGTAAGCCCTATTAGGGTTTATGGTTTAGGGTAACCACTGAACCTTCCATGGAATCCCGCATTTCCAAACTCTAAACCTAAAGCTTCTGGAACCCTGAGCACCTCGCCGGAGCCCGATGACAATCTTGTCTGGGTTCACTTTCTACCTTACACCCCTGTCTGTCATAGGGTTAAAGGTTCTGTGAAGAGGAGACGGGATTCTATAAGGATAAGGTTTGTAGACGGATTACTACTAGCAGCTGAATCCCCTAAACCCTAAACCCTAAACCCTAAACCCTAATCCTGCCGGTTTGCTTTAAAGCCGGTTTGCTTCCTCAAGCCCTAAACCGCTAAAGCCGGAGCCCTCTTGATGCCAAGCCCCAAAGTGAATAAGTCGAGAGCCTCCAGAAAGTCCCGAGACCATCCCTAGGGCTAGGTTTAGGGTTTAGGGTTTAGGGTTTAGGGTTTAGTAAATATTACCTACATTGGGCTATTTGGAGCCCCAGGGCATAAGCAGATTACGGGATTCAGGGATTGGAGTTTAGGGCTTCAGGGTTTTAAGTTTCGGGTTTGTGGTTTCTGAGATTCAAGATGTATGAAAAAAAGGGCCTTCGAGGTTCGTGTTTAGGGTTTATAAGGCTTGGCCATGAGCGACACGCCTGTGACAGGTCAAGCAGCGCAAGGCGAAAGGTGCCTCGGCGGTTGCAGCGGCTATCGGGGTTTGCTACCCTTACCAAACCCCAAACAACGAACCCTAAACCCAAAGCCCTAAACCCCTAAACTTAAACCCTAGAGGTTTACTCTAAACCCCTAAACCCCTAAACCCCTAAACCTGAACCCTAAACCCTAAACCTCTAAACCCCTAAACCCCTAAACCCCTAAACCTGAACCCTAAACCCTAAACCCTTAACCCCAATTCAGTAACCCAAAGCTTCGGCTCGAGCTGCGAAAGCCAGCGCATGCCCTCGAGCCTCCATCGTCAAGGACTGCGCGCTGCACCCGCCGGTCAACATCTGTAGCATACAGTCTACCTTAAACTACCAAACCCTACTTTTTTGTAGGTTCTTACTATAAACCCTAATATGGAATTTATAGGCTTCCGACAAAAAAAAGTAGGTTTTGGTAGGTTAAGGTAGACCCCAACTCCTACAAGGGAAAAGCGAGGTCAGTCTAGACATGTTGAGATGAGTAACGCCTACACACGCCACCCCAAACCCAAATCCTAAAGCCCAAACACAGCCCGAAACCTACAACGCCGCACGTTTCAATGTTGGGGAACTAAGTAGCCTTACTTGGAGGGTCGGGAGACTTAATAAGTAGGTAAGAAGCAGACTTATAAGTACCCTAAAAGGGACCGTAATTGGGGTTATAGTACTTATAAGTCTAAAAAATAACCAGTTGCTAAGTCCCCCGACCCTCCAAGTAAGCACGCCATCACAGTTTTCTAGCAGGCTCGGGCTTGCTAACGCAGCCTCAGAGAGCAAAGTCTTAACTGCCATCTCTTATCGGACCCTGTCCGGCAAAGAAACTGAAAAGCGCAAACGCTAGGTTTTAGGGTTTAGGGTTTAGGATTTAGGGTTTAGGGGTTTAGGGTTTAGGGATTCTATAAACCTCAAAAAGGTTCCAAGCTGCTGGCACTTCAGAGCCCAGGGGGGTTGCTTCACTCTGCCCCCTAGATTGAATCACAAAGTCGTATTTGTTCAAGCTCTAAGCCCGAACACCCGGAGTTTATGCCTTCGCCATTACCTTCCCCCCTTATTGAACCCCACGCTCTAGACTCGACCCGGTGTCCGGGAACCCTAAACCCCGAAATCTTCCACATACCCGAAATCCCAAACCCTAAACCAACCCCCAATGCCAGACCGTGGGGTTCTAAGACCGAAGCGCGGCTGGAGCTATGGCATCGTTGGCTTCCTTTCTGTTAGAATTCTTATTGAAACATGATCCCGATATAGAATCTTAAGGACCCCGCAATTAGATACCCCAGATTTCTGAAACGCGCCGTTTCCATGCTCTACCTTTACATTAAACTGCATCCATCTGGATACAAGTGTTTGGTGTCAAGGTCGTTAGTAAACCCTAAACCCTTAGTAAGGCTGAGGATTTTGGTCTGAGGCATCTGAGTTCTTTTGCGCTTGGAGGGTGCACAGGGCATCTGCCCTGCCTGACCCCATAAGACCTACCGTTTTAGGGCTCCTCATTTTTATGTCCCTTGTGAAAATACTGAACACATTAGATTATGTAGTAACGCTATACATCTAGTGCATTTTCCCTCGACCCGAAGCCTTAAACCCGAAACCCTGACAATCCCAAAGCCTCAAAATCCCCAGAAATACCCACCTGGACCCCCGAAAGTATGTAAAATCATGGCCTTGTGTCGGTGCTGGGCCACATGCTGTACTTTTTTTTGAATGGGTAAACCCTAAACCCTAAACCCGAAATCCCAAGCGTCGTCCCGGCCCCATGAGCCTTTAGGGTTTTAGGGTTTCGGGGTT